CGCTGTGGCGGCGGCTGCTGTTGGAGATCGAGGGGGCGGGGGGCGCAGCCCGGCAAACGCCACCCCGCGTTATTAACCTTTTGGAGAAAAAGCCTCTTTATTCGACCCGGAGGGTGTTGTCCCGGCTCCCCGCTTTGCCGGTGGGCAGGAAGGGGGTTGGTTTTTCATTAAAGTTTTCCCCTCAGGCAGCGCCGGCTCTGGGTCTCCCGCCGGAGCAGCGGAGGGTCCGCGGCGGCCTCGGAGCTCGCTCCGGGGGGAGCGGCGGGGGCTGTGTTCCGCGGAAGGGAAGGAGGAAGCAGGGCGGAAAACTCTTGAGTAACTTTGAAAGCCGCTGCTGTGACTTCAGCAGCTGAGAGATGATGTCCCGGGCTTTTGTAATCGGGAGAAGTAACTAAGACATTTCATTAGGGCTTTAAGCGGTTTGTAATATGCTTCTCATAGAGGCAGTTTACTCGTTGTCGGGGCTTTTTCCAGTTCCTGAGTTTCTCCTCCCCTATTCCATTTGAAAATACATTAGAAAAACCCCTTATTTGTCTGCTGACCTGAAGAACTTCTGCATCCCATCACTTTTCTGTTTCCCCTCTTGGAAAGGTATTGCAGGATGTTGTGCCAAAACAACTACTGCACCACTGGATCGAGTAAAGATTTTGCTGCAAGCTCATAACCACCATTACAAACATCTAGGTAAGATGGCTGCTGCGTGTCTAATTTTTGGTTTTAAATGCAATGTGTATGGTTTGGGTTTGTTGGTTTATTCAACGATGATGTGGCTGATAAGAAAAGGCGCTAATCAGACAGAAAGTTGGATCCGGCTGCTCAGCCTCTGGGCCGCGTCTTGTTTGTGTTTCGAAAGAAAAACAAAGCCCAGCCTGAGCAAGTTGTGGTATTGGTTTAGCGATGGAGATGTGCGAACGGTCCCCAAAAAGGCGCGTAAAAGCCAGGCTTGGTCTTCCCCTTAGCGAGGCCGGCAGGAGGTTGGTAATCACAGCGGCGGAGCTTGGGCCATTTATGTAAAAACTGTCACTGCTGGTGACTGCTGCAGTCTGCGACAGCGCCCGCCGGCCCCCAGGGGCTGTGGGAACCGCCGATGCTCGGAGCGTGGCAGCCCTCTCGGGGCTGGTGGTGACAGGACGGTGCTGGCCGCATCCCGCAGCGCGCGTGGGGCCGGGGGCAGGTGGTGGAAGTGGGTCTGGGCTTGGCGGGAGGTGCCGGCCAGCCGCGGTCGGCGTCTGTGTGGCATCGTGGTGAGAGAATAAACTCCCCGTTGTCACCATGCTCAGAGCCGTTCTCTGTGGGGCTGTAGCAGTGCCCTCTTGTGCAGAGTATTTGAGGTATTTTATGTCCTTATGTTCTTGAAGTGTGTCATAACTTCTGTTCTGAAAGTGTGTTACAGTTGGCAAGAAAATATAATTCTGAGTTAGTTAATTTTACATGTAATGAAAGTTTGAATTTTGTAATTTAGACACTAAAGATTTTTTTTTTTAAGGCTGGAGAAATAAATCTTGAAATAAAATTCAGTGCATATATATTCACTTCACGGTACCAAAAAGGGAACCACAAATTATGTGGCATTTTGGCAACACAGTCATAAAAGAATGCACTCAAATCTGTAGTCTAAGGAATGAAGGCTGAAATAATTGGTTTGACCAATACTTTAAATCCTTATTTTCTGTTTACTTTGTATTGTGCTGTAACTGGCAATGAAAATCTTCTATTCTTCCCTATGTAGGGAGTTAGATATGGTGCTCATTATTTAGCACGTGTCTGACATCAGTGTATGTTCTTGTTACGTGTAGGCAAGAGAGAAAATGATGTGGATGAGATACCTGTAAGTGCAGAGACATGGTGGATGGGTTCATTGAAGTGCTCACTGAATGTTTTTCCTGCCCTTGCTCTGTGGAGAGTTTGTGCTACATGGGTGTCAGAGCATGTTTTAAGAAATAAGAACAGTAAATCACCATTGCAGAGTAGAGAGAAATTCTAGTCATGGCATAAGTATTTTCAGAGGCGTGTAGTAAGTGTGAAAACTTAAAAATACATTTGTGTTGTATTTTTAGAACCTTAGAAACTAATTAATACTTCTTTTACTTAGACTTCAAATGAAACTTTGTCAAGTACTCTCTTTTTCTGCCTGAAAGTAAAGATGTGTAAGACTTTTTCATGTTCAGCTCTTATATTAAGTAGTTCCATTCGAATGAAAAAGGTTTAACTGTTACAGATTATTCCTTTACCAAAAAAAAGTTTAAAAGCCAATTTGATAGCAATTGTGCGTAACTAATATGTTTATAATAAAAGCGTAGGTTTTGCCCAAACTTTGTGTGATGTTGCATTATTCACCACCTATTAAAAGGGAATAGGATTGCTTCTTACTGCAACAGCTCTGGGATAGGAAGTGTGAGATGTGTAAATTGTAAGGAGAGTTTCAACTTGTTTACTCCATTTCCTCAGTGATGGCATTTAATCTGTAATTTACCATGTAGCAATATTAGATTTTTTTTCCCCGTGGTTTTAGATTTTAAAGTATTTGTTTATCTATTTTGAATTGACTGAATCGCAAGTCAACCAGTTTCCTTCCTTCTGTTGCTAGTATTAGCTTCTGTGGGTGGATAGTATCATCTGCAATAGGATTGCGTGCAGTCCAGGCAAGCCACGGAGCCTGAACGCATGAATTCAGAAAGAGGTTCACTGAGGCTGGGAGGTGAGAAAGCTGATAAAACTTAACCTTAAACCTCTTCGTCTGGCAATGTTTGGGCACGGAAAGTGGATTTTCCACTCTCCATAGTTACATGAGCAACATGATCCCATCTTAGTTCTATGCATACTTTCTTATTGTCAGTAATATTTGCTTGATTTTTTTTTTCCTTCCCCTCAGTGTAATTGTTTAATACCTCTTTTTGTATTGCTGGCAGGAGTGTTTTCTACACTGTGTGCTGTCCCCAAAAAGGAAGGTTACCTTGGGCTGTATAAAGGAAATGGGGCAATGATGATTAGAATCTTCCCATATGGTGCAATTCAGTTTATGGCATTTGACCAGTATAAAAAGGTTAGTTGAATTTATTTTATTTTCCTTTTTTTTTTTTTTTTTCCTGCCTACAGTGAACACAGATTCTTTAAGTGATCAAAGCTAACACTGAAACTTTTGTGTCTTATTAATTAGCTGCATGTCTTTTCTGAGGTTGCTTAATTTTATCCAAATCTACCCATTAAAAAAATCAGAGCAACAGTGAAACATTCTGCAGTGTTGCTTAAGGAAAAAAAATTCTCACCAATTTTTGTACCTTTGTATTGTTGAGAATAATACTTTTTTTAGGAAAGAAAAAGATAGTCTAAAGTCTGCAACTATTTGTATTGTTATAAGCTAGCCCTTTGTGAATAATGTAGGAACAAAATGTAAAATGGAACCTCTTTATGATATTATATTGGGAGTCTTAGTATTTGATGGATGGAATAACTTAAACTTGAAAGTCTCTCTGGATGTGACTGTTATATTTGACCTGGCAAATGACTATGTCAGGCTCTAGAGAAAAATGACCTGGAAGAAAAAATGCTTATTTAAGGATCCCACAAGATTTGTGGATTCCTTTCTGCTCTCATGCATTTAGTCTTTCATAATAAATACATAATAAATCCCTGTAACAGCTTTGGAGGTCAGGTGTTACATGAACATGTTTTTAAACATTGCTTATGCTGGTCAGAAATACCATTTTACTGTTAGTGATGAGTAATTCCGTATTTGAAAGCTGAGATTTAGTACCCAGTGAAGTAACTTGCATGATCTTTCCTGAAGACAGAGACTGAAATTATGATTCCTTTCCCTAAAGAGTGAATTTCAGAGGGCTGATACAAAGAAGTAACTTCAATGAATTTCATATGTTCTGAGTTTTTTTGTGGTGTGATCATAAATGCTGTTGATCTGTGCTTGTTTTATGTTTTGTTGAATAAAAGACTGCATGCCATGCTTTGTAATTAAATGGTTTATGAATCTGCAAATTTCAAGAAACCATTTAGCATCATAGCAGTTTCTTTTATCTATTGATTGTCAACAAATATTCAAGATGTTTTGCTGGAATATGTAAAAGGAAAAAACCCGGTTCTTAAAGAAGGAAGATAAGAATTAATCTTCTTTATAGCAGAAACTGCTTCTTAGTCTCAGTTATTTGATAAAAGCCTGGAAACTAATTTCTAACTTCCTTCCAGAACGTAATGTAACTTAGGAAGTTCTTGCTCTCAAATGCTTGATGGATTTCTCTTTTCCTTTTTTTTTTTTTTTTTTAATAATGCAGTTAAACAAAGCCTTAAAAATACTTTCATAGGACTATGTTTCACATGCTGTGCCTTAAAGGTGTCACCTTTCAACTTTGCTCCGTGTCCTTTGTTCTCTATCATGCTACAAGGACACTATTCGGTTTGCCTTGTTTGACACACATTAAAGATAACTAAATAAACAATTAATCTAGTTTCTGAAGTAAACAGTACAAATACTTCCAACTAATCAATTTGCCCTGTTAGTAGAACTCTAGCACTTCAGTGTTTTTAATAAGAAAGTGGTAACAGTAGCAATGTTCAGAAAATTCTTTTAATTAAGTTCTCTGGTTTGAATTTGCAGTGTTACAAACTTCTTGGAAACAGCTACAGAGTTTGCACTAATGTGCTAATAAACTGAGTGATGTATTTCCCTGTATTTTTTGATATACAACTACCGTAAATGTTCTGTATTTTGTAGGTAATAAAGAAGCAGCTTGGGATTTCAGGGCATGTGCATCGATTAATGGCTGGATCCATGGCAGGTATGGTTTTGTACTTGGATTTCAGATGCCCCTTTTGCTGGAAAGCTAATATTTGTTTAGAGGATGATTTGATGTGTTTTCAGGCCAAACTGTTGCAAATTTGTGTTAAGCAAAAATACTAGTAAATGGTTAATGTAACGAGTAGTTGCCTAATTGGAAACTGTTTGTCTAAGAGTATTCTTTAAAATGTATTTGTTGAAGCACTGAATTCTGTGCGATGCTGTAAAGCACAGTTTTTATAGTGTTTATTAGGGCTTTTAAAAAAATAAAGAATCCAGTGTCATCAAGGTGAAGTATAAAGATGTAGGTTTTAGCAGAATTGGTTCATGAGCCCGTCTGCCTTTGCTACTAGGTTGAACATAACTCTTTTTCATAGAAATAGAGAGAACTGCAGCTCCTTAAATGGGGGGATTCTTTGGATTTGCCAGAAATAGACTGTTCAACATCCAATGCAGGATTGTCATGATACTCTAGCTCATATGTACGAATGTTAAAAAACATCATTTATCAATTAGTGCAATAGCAGTAGAAAAACCCATTTGTAAACTGCCAGTATATAGTATGATTATACATTTCTGTTTTCCCCTTGCTAGTCATTCAGCCAAAAGTAGCTAAGAAAAAACAGGGAAAGGTAAGTAATAGTGGACTGATTGTCAACTGAGGTGATTCTTCATGTCCTTTTACTTTGTAAAACGGGCTTAATACCATCTAGTGACAGTCCTTAAATACTTACGACACGAGTGTTAATATTTATCTTATTTTGGAATAAAAATACTGGGGTTTGTTAATACTACCTTTAGTTAAACTAGGAAGACCTCATAAAAGTATTTTGGCTTTGCATGTGATCAGAGGAAAAGAGAATGAAATGGTTCAAAGATCCTAAAAGCTAGCAAGCCCCATTTTGACAAGATATGTTCCAGAACTTGGCTGGCTTTCTACCTGAAAGAGGTGGAAAAAATACATAATGTGTTTTCCCTTTTCTCTTTCTTTCCCCCCAGCTTTAACTGTACTAAAGAGCACTTTATTTATTTATTCCCCAAAAGCTTATTATTAGCTTTTTCAGGAGCCATGTCTCAGAGACCTGGAACCTGACTTGTGAGGCACTGTGAAAACATTGAATAATCAGCTTAACTTCGTCAGTGTTGGGCATGCTGGGATTCTTTGTGTAGATAAATTAATAGCATCTGGCATCGTTTTAAGCACCTTACTGGTTAAATCTGTTTTGTGTGGTTAGAGTAACAGAAATAAAATAAAGCACGATCCAATGAAATGCTTTATGTGGTGCATTTAAGTACAGTATACTCCATAGTCTGGTATTGAGAACCCCAAAACTGAGTAGATGAACTAGATTTAGGTGGGCAATGAAATGAATATAGCAGTCAGGTATAGTAATAGCATCACATGTGAGTGTCTTACTATTTGTTTACTAGGTGGCATTAACTGATCTTTGGGATATTCATTAGATCAATAAGGGGGTGGGGGGGGTTACCTTGACTATTCCAAGAGGGTACAGAGGAGGAAGGAGGCACTAAGAAGAGCTTCGAGTTTGAAATCTGATACAGAAGTTCTCTAGATTTGCAAACAAAAGAATAGACTTCTAATAGCAATTGGTAAAAACTGCTTTAACTGCTGTGGCTTAGTCTCTTGCTGGCTCTAACAAGGGGTATTGTTCCGTTTCTTCCAAGTTTAAATGACTAAATGAGATGGTGTGCTGCATGCACCCCAATGTTGATGAAGAGGGGTCCTCACAGTTTTCTGGAACCCAATATTACCCAATTCAAAATGCATAACCCAACTTGTTTCCCTTTCATTTTTGTCCCTTCTACACCATCTAGCCACACAGCTGTCTGTTTTCACTTCTATATACACTACTGATACTTAAATCTTGGTTGTGTCAGTGTTTTCAACATTACTGGCAGTCAACAGACCTGAGTCAACTTCAGAGTGGTGGGAAACATTTGAGTATCTTCTGAAACTGATAAACAGGATCAAAAGCATATCCACAGGGGAAAACAAGGCAATGAGGGTGGGGGTAGTGGAATGAGAGAAAAGAAAAACCTATTGTAATGCATATATTTCAGGAGGCCAAGTTAAAGTTACTGTGGAAACTTTAACTCTGGATTTCCTGAGTCTTGTGTGATTCAAATTTCAGTTGTAACACCTCATTAACAGATAAATGGTGTATAACTTCTTTTAAGGAAAGGCAGAGCTGGGGAGAAGATAGAAAAATCATAGAGGTTAGCGGGGTTTAGGAAACAAAATGATCAAATAGCACCTGTATCATAGGATGGTTTTGCAAATCTAAATGTTTTTTAGTTTTCTATTTGAAAAATCTTAATTAAACCACAGAAATATGTATTTCCTCCCCTGCGCTTAACTTTAAAAAAGCCCCCCAAAATTAGATGCCATCTAGAATAAACTCCATGAACCTAATACAGAAAGTGTGGGTTTCTTTTTACCTTTTTATGTTTATTTTTGGTAAAAACGATTGGAAAATAGTTCTGATCTAGGAGGATACTGACTGTCTCAAATAGGATGTAATTAACAGTTACCTATTTGAGTCAACCTCTTAAAAGAATCTGTGCTGTTTATTTCTTCAAGTGCAATTCAGAAACAGAATTATATATTAGATGTCTAGAAATGTTAGGACTTGCAAATTAGGCAGCTCTTTGTCATCAGCTATTTCTCTGTATGTATGGTTCCTGAAGCTTTGTTTTCTTCGGAAGATGCCTCCTTGATGAATTAATCTTTGTGCTAGTGAAGGAAGGCATTTTCTGCAGTTTGAGGCCGTGACTTATGCTTATCAGCTTTTGAACTGTATACCTCTGATCACCTAGTAGTACTTAATTTGGTCTACATAGTTATTGATAAAGTACAAAGAGCACGATACACAACTTTTTATGACTTCTGTATCAGATATGTTTGCGGTACCCGACCTTTGTAAATGTATCTCACTTGGGTTTTTTTCTTGCTCCAGATGTTTGGGGTTGTTTTATTTTCAAAGAAAAGAGTATTACTAAGGATGGGGGAATAGTAGGGAAATTGGGAGACAGAGATAAATCCCTTTACAGCTAATCTCCTTGTTAACTCCCAAAGCCTGGGAAGCAAATTGAGGACAGTCTAATTCCTGTTGTGCTTCATTGACACTAAGTCTCAGTAAGGGTTTGTTTAACCCGGTATCTTGTGCCCAAGAGTGGTCAAAGGTGCTTGAGGACAATATGGTGAGTGAAGAATGGTCTTTCCTTGACTTCTGAGTCAGCATTTGCAATGAAAAATCTGCTATTCTTGAAGAAGTGGTTCTTAAAGGAGGTAGGAGCTACATTGCCCTACTAGGATTATTTCAGATTAGACACTGGCAATTGCAGTATGTGTCTCTTAACTGTTGAAATATTTCCAATACTGTCCTGTTTAACCAACCGTGGGAGAGATTTTTGGCCCAACTTTCATTATTCGGCATAGACTTTGCTTCCTCAAGACAGGGAATTGGGCTTAAGATGCTGTGGTCTGACTTCTGATAACTCATACTGTTTAGGGAGCTAGAGAGAACGTTACTAATTTTGTAGACTTCACCACAATGACTGTGTCCCAAAGCTGGCCGCTATTTCTCCCAGAAAAGATAGTGTGTCTTCTGAGCCCTAAAGGAAACCTTGATCCCTTGTATGTACATTTTGCTTATGTGAACAGTAAGGGTTAACATACTGCTCCCAGGTGCTTCAAGAAAGCATATTTTGGGGATGATGTTGGGAATCCCCCCCCCTTTTTTTTTTTTCTTTCCAGAATTCTTGGCTAGAGAATTTTAAGAAAAAGTAAAAAGAAAAAAAAAGATCCTATTTAAATCCTTACTACATACGGTTTCTTCCAGTTCCATCTGTTTTGGTGGGGTTTTTTTTGTTTTTTTTTTTTCAATTGTACTATTTTTGGACTATGTTCACCAGCTAGTGCATTCACCAAGCTCTTGGTTGGTCTGTTTGCTGATCTTTGTTCAGAGAATATTCCTGGAAATGTATCAGGGCATGATTGGAAAGAGAAGGGGGATAAAGTTTTCTGGTTTCTGAAGTGGGATGACTTTCCTGTGAACTCTTAAGCTCTGTAAAGATTTTCTCCCTCTTTTTTATTTTATTTTTTTTCTAAACTGCTTGAATTCATCCATTTTACAATATTTCTGGACATCTCAGGCAATCCATTAGGAAAAGGCTGTAGTCTGAGGGATTGCTTTTAATGATGTAGGTCTGTGGAAAGTCCTGAAGTTGCTTTGGTGTTTTGCGGCTTCCAACTTTTGAACCCTATGGGTGAGACAACATAACAGAAATCAACTGCAGATGTCTGCTTTTTGTTCAGAGGAGTCGTCCAAAATCTCTTGACAGAAATTATTTTTTTAGAAGACAAAAACAATTACTGGTAGGCTACTCTAGAAGGCCACAAACTTTACTCTTGTTTGGTCGACCAGTATCAGCTTTTTGGATAGCTCACTTAGGGTGTTAATATTTTTTTTTTCTCCCCATCTAATCATGATATCTTATGTCACATCACTCAGCTTACTAAGGTTGCTTTTTTTTTTTTTTTTTTTCCTCTCCAGACATAAAAGTTACCAGGAGTCTCTTTGCTGGAGTTGTTGTGTTGTGTTTGGGTTTTGTTGTTAGTTTAGCTTGGTTTGGTTTTGTTTTCCCCTCTGTGTCATGGTTTTTTCTTAACCTTGTGGAAAGGAGGGGAAATGATACACCTACAAAAAGAGATATCATTAAGAGACTACTAAAACTTAAAAGGAAGTGCAATTTCCTGCCAGCATAAAAAGTGTGCTTGTCTTCTGTAGGACCAATTTTTTAGGGTGATGTTTAGCTAAATCAGAGGAGCTGGTAGAAAACAGTGTCAGTCATGATTTTTTCTCCTTTTCCCAGTGTTTTTTTTCCAAGTGATGGTGGTATACCACCAAAAAATGACCTCTGTTTTTAGTAAACAGTTTTAGCTATTCTCTCCAAATAATTTGTAAGCTGCTGAGTGATTTACCTCAAAAACTAGCAGTGGGAAAGAATTTGTTACTCAGGTAACTGTTGGAGGAGTTGTTCTCTGTACTGGAACTCTGTTTCCAAAGTTACAAGTGGGTCAGTATGGAATCAGTTTTGAAGCAGTTCATAACTGGATTAATCCTAATATTTGATTTTTTTGGCATCTTAAATCTAGAAATAACTTTTTTGGTCAGAGTTTTAAAACAGAAGTGCTGGTGTAACGTGAAATATTAAAATGCAGTAATGCAATGCAGTTAAGTACTCCTCATCCGTACAATCCTGACTTTATTTTCATAGAATTATAGACTGGTTTGGGTTGGAAGGGACCTTAAAGCTCATCTAGTCCCAACCCCCTGCCACGGGCAGGGCCACCTTCCACCAGCCCAGGTTGCCCAAAGCTCCATCCAACCTGGCCTTGAGCCCTTCCAGGGAGGGGGCAGCCACAGCTTCTCTGGGCAACCTGTGCCAGGGCCTCACCACCCTCACAGGGAAGAATTTCTTCCTCATATCTAATCTAAATCTGCCCTCTGTCAGTTTAAAACTGTTACCTTACTCCTTGTCCTATTTTAAATGTCATTAGAATATATTTAGTATTTTCAGATGTAGTAGATAAATGCAGGTATCTATATCCAGTAATCACATCAAATTTTGAAAAAAGCTTTTGAAATTAAACATGTAAATTCGGTGTTTTGGTTTATTTTTATTTTTTTAAGATATGTAGGATTAAGTTTAATGGTTGCAATCCAGTAAAGCTGATGCACTTGACTAGCCTGTTACTTATGAGCCATGGACTTAAATAAGATTGCTCATGTGAATACAGTTAGGTGCTTAAATCTCTGGAAAATCAAGGCCTAGCTATGCAGCTTCAGTGAACACCAAGTATAAACATAAATCCTTCGTGTGTTGCTGAAGTTACTGTTCCTATTTGCTGACTATAAGTGACTTTACGTGTTTCTTTAACAAAATAATTTGTATATGCTGTTATATTCACTGCCACAAGAGGAAATTCTGACTTTTCAAAATAACCCTAGAATCAGATAAGGTGTAGGTGAGTTTTGTTTGCTTGTTTTGTTTTTGTTTTTAATAAAGGTATTACAGCAGTGATTTGTACTTACCCTCTTGATATGGTTAGAGTTCGTCTGGCGTTCCAAGTAAAAGGGGAACACAAGTACATGGGGATTATCCATGCATTCAAGATGATTTACACAAAGGTATTTTTTCTTTTAATCTTCAGTCCTGTCAAAGCAAAACATGCTCTTTAAAGAATGTTGCACTGCATTGAAAATAGTAGCCTGGTGGAAAAATAATGTGACTTCAGTGCGTGCACATTGAGTTTTTTAATGTAAAAATTTATCTGGATGCTTCCTTCTACTTAGGCTGCTAAGATGTAGCTAAGACTTATGTAAGTGGGAAGTTGAAAACAGCAGAGAGAAGTTGCTTTTCAAGAATGAGTAGTAATGATACAAAAAAATTTGGGGAGGAGGGATATGTATAATGCAGAGTGTCTCCTAGATTATGAAGTTGGATGTAGATTGTTCTCCTTCATTTTCACTTCTTTATCTCCAATGGAACCAGGCAGTTGTCCCCTCAGTCTTCAGGCACAAGAAACGGATGCTAGCTCCTTGGTGCTAGATGATGCTAGTCAGATTGCTGTCATGTGAATCTGTATGAACAACCATATAACTTGTTAAGACATTTGGTGTATTTCTTGCCATAAATGTACCTGTATTTTTCTTTCAAAGGAAGGTGGTTTTAGTGGATTCTACAGAGGGCTGACGCCAACTGTTGTAGGAATGGCACCATATGCGGGTAAGTTATTGCCAGGATGTGGCAGTCCTTTGGCAGCGATGTGCTCTACTAAATGTACATAATATAGCTACACAGTTAATTAGCTCCTGTTAAAATCAAGGATTCTGCTTTTTACTCTATGGAATGGGGGGCCGCATTTGCAACTCTTCAATCTTAATCTAGAATTGGACAATGTGTGTTAAAGCATCTTCAGCAGGCAAAGCCTAGTTTTCTGAATCTTGGAGTTGAGAAGGAGAGAGGTCAAGTAGTTGTTCTTTCTCTTCTGCTTCCCAGTTTTCCCACAACAAAGCATGTAGGATATTTCTCTCAAACAGGTAGATGCATGGAGCAGAGTGCTCTATAGATGGGAGTTGTAGAGCCTCTGTATTGGCTCCATCTCCTGGTGACTTCTATGTGAATCCTTAAACAAGCTAAAGCAGCGGGTGACGTGGGATGGAGGAACATCAGAACTGCCCAGCTAGACTACAGTCATATTTAAAAGATGAAAATATCTTAGGAGTTACTCTTAACAGCAATCCAGGAATTTAAAACCTGCAGTCTATCTTATTTAAAGCATTCTTTTAATGTTAATTATAAACACTAATTCACTTGGACAGAAGTTACTGTAGAAGTTCAAACTATTGTTTGTCTATTTCTTTCTGCTTAAGAAAAATCTTCTAAAAGAATTGGAAAATAGTTTCATTTTGTAATTGCAGTTTTTTGTTTATGATAATGATGCATCGACAAATAGTTTGCCTTTTTATGAAAGTACATAAAATTAAATTTCCTTTTAGGTTTTTCATTTTTTACCTTTGGTACCTTAAAGAGCATTGGACTTGCTCAAGCACCTAACTTGCTTGGACGGCCTTCATTAGATAATCCTGATGTCTTAGTTTTGAAAACACATGTAAATCTGCTGTGTGGTGGCATAGCTGGAGCAATAGCTCAGACGATATCGTAAGTTTGGGTATTGTGGGGTTTTTTTGTTCTTTTGTTTTTTCTATATAGCTGTTCATTTTAAAGAAACTTTTATCTGAGAATATAGTTTTACGTAAGTCTAGTTATCAGTAAGGTTTTAAAATCAGGTTAATCAGACACTGGAATTCAGTTATTACCTATTGTTTCGTTTACTAAATATCTATTTAATCTTCAGGGTCTTTAAAGGTACATGCATTGAATCGATTAAACAAATTCAGACAAATATCCTAAAATCAGATGGAATCTTGTTTGGTAAGCTATGAAATTTTGACCATGAGTATAATTTGCAGATTTTTATTATTGTAATTTATTTTCAAAACAAGGTAACCTGTGAAGCCATAGAATTAAAAACAAGACCCCAGAAGTCTTAGATATTGTATTTGGCATTAATTTTTTTATTACTTTTCTTGCTTTCTCCATTCTCATGCTGTCCTTGTCATATTTTATTTTGTCCATAAAATAAGTTAATTTAATGGACTAATACAGCATCAATTTTTCACTAAATTGCTGCATTACAAATGTCATTTTCTATTAATCCTTAAACTGTTAATTTTATTTTTGATTCAGGTGTGTTCTCCCTCCAGCGTTTTACAGTTTTATACTCTCATCTGATCTTCATGTGTCTTCCTTTACTTGTGCCAAATGGAATATATTAAAAGATCTGATTTACTGGTTTTGGTTGTATAGGGGAAGTCTCCCTTTTTGGAGAACTTTCAGCTGTGTTGAGAATCTGAGCTGGATTTCTGACTCACTGAAAAGGGAGCTTGGAGGTTGCACATGGACTGCTTTGTATTCTTTTTTAAACTAGTCATCACACATCTGGCTGAAGTGCTGTTCAAATATCTCCTCTGTAGATATCCCCTTGATGTAACTCGAAGGCGAATGCAGTTAGGAGCCGTTCTCCCAGACTCTGAAAAGTGCCTGTAAGTATTTTCTTTTCATCCATAGTAACTGAATTCTTAGACCTCTTGAGCAAAGTTAAATTGTCTTAAAGTTTAAAAAAACCTAAACAAAGCCCAAACTGCTACTTTGTTGATTTCATTGTTCTTTTAATGAGTAAGTTTCCACTCAGACAAAAGCTGCTCTTACTGCTCTGAGGTTAAAACCCCAACAACCCCCCCCAATCACATGGCACTTTTGTTACTAATTCTGCATTTGTATTAGTAATGGGTGTGTGTGTGTGTGTTGTATTTTAAGTCACCTTGCAATGTCTTTCTTTAATATCAGCAGGATCCCTAAGAGATAGACTGCATGCTTCTATTGAAATGAAATGTTTTAAAGTGTTTTTTAACTTCGCAGAATCTGTTCCATAAGATGATTTTGCATAATACTGTTCCATTTGATTTTTCTTGCGTTTACAGTAATGTCCCACACCCCACATGTAGTTGAGGTTCCTCCAGTAGTAGTGGAAGTACCATAATATCCTTAAAATCATTGTATTAAATTGGTTCTCATCTTGACAAACTTCCTGAATTTCAAATTGCCTCAGCCAAAGGCAGTTCTATCTTGGTTATTTTCAATCTTGTGGAATTGTGCATGTCTGAATCCAGTGTGATTCAGTGTGAACCTTCTGCATGGCAAATTGAATCTTACTAACAGTAGCGACCTTCCATAAACAACCTAGATATTGCTTACTGTGAAAGTTGCTGTTCTATTTTCCTTAGCAGCCTTAACAGGTTTTTTGTTTGGCTATTTTCCACTCCAGATACTTTTAAAATAAAAATGTGTTAATTGTTACTGGGGTTTTACTTTTTGCATTTGTGAGAACTATTTTACAGACTTCAGAGTTCCCAATTTAACAACATTGTGACCGTGTTTGAGAGCTGTGCCTGGAAGGACAGTAGACATATGTCTTTAGAGGATGAGATGATAAAACAAGTAGGAAATTTTGAAACTTGGAGGCATATGGAAGGCGTTCACAAAGAGCAGTGTCTTTAATAGCTTGGAAATATTGATCACCTTAGAGATTCTTAAATTGCTTTGCATTTAGTGTCCACTCGCTCAGTTTCAATGTAAGTATGTGAGGAAAATCTTCCTTGCATATACACTGCAAATGCTTCTTTTAATAAAGTCAGATATTATAGATGTAAATTCTAGCATTTCTCTTTTGAGAGAAAATACTAGGTCTTTGTCATGGTAGAGGAAGATACACACATGCAAGATATACAGAGCTAAATGTAAATTTTATATGCAGAGCTTTAGAAGGATGGGTGATATTGATCAAGTGTTCAAAGAAGGAGAATGGGATACAAGCCTAAATACTGATCTTTAATGCAAGGAGTGTGTGCTGCATTGGGCAAATTATGTTTCTGTTACTCTGTGTTATGTTTGTAAGAAGAATTGATTCTTCTCAACTCCTTCCTGCCAGATAGGCAACAGAAAAATGCATAGCCATTGTGATGTAAAATGTATTAATATGACTTTTCGGGCAGATGTTTTCAAACTGAAACTTCTTCAGATAGGATTGCACTGTCCTCTTTCTAATTCCCAGCCTCCTGGCTCAGATCTCTTGCAAAAGCTCAGACTGTCTTCTGGGTCCTAAAAAGACTAACAATGCTTTGCTGTATGGAGTCCCATGGGCTTTTCTCCATAGATCTCTTAAGAACCAAGTAAAACAGTGTCTTGTATTTAAAGAAAGTGATTTTTGACTATTGAATATGTGTATCCAATAGTGATTTGAGTTCTTATTTTTCCAGTACAATGGTGCAGACACTGAAATACGTGTATCAACAACATGGAATACGAAGAGGATTATATCGTGGTTTATCTCTAAATTATATTCGTTGTATTCCTTCCCAGGCTGTGGCTTTTACCACATACGAACTTATGAAACAATTCTTGCACCTCAACTAATTTTTTTAGAAGACTTTCCTGTAAAACTACACTATCAGTCCTCAGATTATATTGTTGAGGAAATTACTTGAAGTTAAAAAAAAAAAAAAGCAAGCTATCTGTTACTGTGGAACTGCTGTTGTCTGACTTTTATTTGCCAAAATGTGGTTAATTTCCTGGAGTCAAACCAGGAGACAGATCAAAATAAACATTAGTTAGCTATAAACATTTTTTTGTACTTGATCTTGTAGGCTTCATTAGATTAATGTTAAGAATTACACAGTTTTAAAATTACACCCACATTTTATACGGGTTTCAAGCTGTTAGTTATTTAGCTTTATCACCATTCCAGGAGCTACACACATGGTTATACTGCTTTTTAAGCTAGTAGTTAGACATCTGTTCTTCTTTAAAAATTGAATAAACTGATTTGAACAAAATGCAATGATTTTCATATTCAAATACTTGCCAGCTCTGTAGAAGCTGAACTCGGCAGACCACAATTTACGCATCTTTTCATTCTTTTTTTGTACAAGTTTTCTGTATGCAAGAACAATGCATATATCTTCGGATTGCTATATGTGAGTCTCTTCAACCATTTCAGTACAAAATGACAAGATGTATTTAACATAATTAGAAATTTTGCAATTTGGAAGCCAGTTTCTTGGCATACGTTCTGTTATAAAACATGCTGTATCTATACAAATAAAACCAGGGGGAAGTTTTACTAGTGCTAGAAAAGATCTCAAGGCAATTAGTATGGGTCTAATCTTAAAAGGCATTTCTGTACTTTTTCTGTGGAGCTGAATGTTCTCGATTCGGTTTATTAAAGACTTAGTATTTTATGTACTTCCTAGTACTAGCTTGTGTAAACAGGTTTGTCCCTACCTTAAAACGGTGACAAACAAGACTGCATGCTGCTGCATTTACTTATTTAGGCATATGGACCATATTCAACCTCTCGTGCAAGAAAAGAAAATGAAGATTGTATTGGAGTCTGTAGATGTGTATATGTATTGTTTCTGAAGTATGGTATGCAATAGACTATTACATGTTTTCGTCCTCTTACGATTCCTTTTATAGAGGGAATTATTTTCCAGACTTGTTTATACATGATTTCCATTGGTACTCTTGATTTTACTCACTTGATTCAGGAAACTGTAAAGCATTTACTTTAAGTGATGTAAGTTATTTATTTATTGTAAATATTTTAGCAGTGTCATTTAAGAATTGGTAATGGTTATATTAAGTGGTGGGTGGTAAGATTGATTTGGTTAGTTTGGACAAATTTGACAAATTGGATTTTGAGTTATATATTCAATACCAACTTCTGTGGCTCAATTTATTTTTTTTTTTCCAGTTTCTTAAAAGTGTGTATTTCTTTGATATTTAACAATGCAGCTATTGACGGAGAATGAGACGTATTTGAATTTATTTTATTAAAAATTTTGAACTAATGGCTCTGTGTGATTTGTATGTGTTGCAGCCAGAAAGAATGGATCTTTCTGGAATTATCTCTAAGTTTGCCCTTGTAGGTAAATCTATACATCATCATCATTCTTAATTAAGAGACAACAAATACGATTTTTCATCTGATCTTTAGTTTCACTTAAAGGAAAACTAGCCAATATCATAACGAATTTTTATCTTTTAAAGTCCTTGCAGTACAGCTAAATCCACTGTATTAAAAAAAGAGATGTGCCATTTTTCTTTCCTGCATTGTTCTCCTGTGTGAGCAAATAAGCATCTTCTCAGGTGCCAGTTCTGTGCCATGTTAATGCTGTTAAGGATGTTTAGAGTTTTGCATCTTCATTTTACTATAAGTGATATATTTGAGGAACTCAAACAGGTTTGAGCTGTGTCATGAAAAGCAGTTCTTATAGAGAATAAAGCAGAATCCAGCATATTCACTCTTGAGAGGAAAAGAGCAGTAAAAAGTGTCCCCTAAATAATTGAGTAAGATACTGAATGTGAAAAACAGACCTACTGGATGAAACTGTGCTGTATTTTCAGGACTAGTTTTTCAAAATAAAATTTAAAAGTGTAGGAATAATTTTAAAATTGGAAGCATTTTAATGCTTTTGAGTGAGGTCTGTGAAAGAAAAGTACTTTTATCCAGGGGCTAGATGGGAGGAAACTGGAGTTTCTAATTTTTTTTTTTAGTAGCTATTTCTAACTCCAGAAAGCTTATTCAGGTATATTTTTTTTTTCTGTTAGAATATAGAATTTGTTAAGAATATCTGACTACCAGAGTGGAAACATGGGATTTGTAAATCCTCTTTCTTTCTCTGGTGACAGCCCTATGAAAACTGGGCTTATTTTTGTTTTGAACTACTGAGGGTTTTATTCCCTTGTTTTTTCCTTGTCTGTCACTCCAGTATTTTCAGTGTACTGAACAAGCCGCATCTAATTTTAGCCAGTAAAAAATATGAGATTAAGCTCCAGGCAAGTTCATTTTAATGACCTAATCATATACTTTCTAATTTTTTTTTTCTATTTACTTTTTCATCATATGGAAGGGGCCTGAATATCTGTTTTTGACTTTATATCTAAAAATTTATATCATAATAATCTCATAACTAATAGTTGTATCCAGTGAAGTAATTAGTTTGTGAAGAACTGGTTTATGTAGCCTCAGGTAATATTTTTAAACTCTCTTAAAGCCACCTCTTTCCAATGCAGTTTGACGTAAAGGTAGAAAAGAATTCCATCACCAGTTTAGGACTCCTTCAGGTGAGAGAGTCTCATACAGGCTTATTCATGACACACCTTGAAAATCTCAGCCTCAGGGTTTGTTTTTTTTTCAGTGATTAAACATTGTGTCTTTAAAATCATCCCCTTACTTCATCTCCACATCTGTATAATTGAAAATTTTCCCTGCTATAACTAAGGCACTTATGTATGACCAATAATGCAGTTTGCAGTCTTTACACAGAAAAGTTTTGTGTATTTGAACCATTTTTTACACTGATTAATTCCAATGTCTCTTATTTATTTCATTAATAATATTCTCCAG